TTAAAAGCACTCTCCATTCGCAGAACAGATCTCTGAGAAGTAGCTGGAAGGCCAAACTTGTGTCAGTGGAAACTATTTTAGCCATGCTTTCATTTAAAGACAATTTCTCAACATCTGATTTCCACTTTATATTAGAAAAATATTCTTTGGACTGTGGTCACTACCGATAACACTTCTTATTATTGGGAAAGCTCTTGTGAAACATTTGTCGAGCACATGAAATGGTAAAAAGTGAAATATAGTAATTAAGATTTGTGTTGTATCGATTGTGTAGCTAAAGTAATTTTTCATTACTAACATAAGATTTAATAAGTATAAGTAGTTAAAGATTCTGTCTTGGCACTAGTCATTAGCATGTAATTGAACTAGTAAAAAAGATCAGTTAAAGCTGTGTTGATTACCACCTTATCTTTGAAAGGCAATTAAAGACCTCAATCATTGCAACAAGATTTGATTGTGCAGGCTTTATTGGACATTGATCTTCCAGCAAAATGCAGTTACATTTTCCATTAATTTACAGTAACACAGTTTAACTTTGATACCCTAGACTGTTGACCCAGGTGAGATGTAAGGCTAAGTACTTGTTTAGGTTAAGATGCCCTCAAACGTTATTACAGTCTGAATAGCAAGGCTGGAAAAAAAATAGATACCTGATACGGTAACTTTAGGATAAGGTTTCTCTTATCTGCATTGGCTTTTAAATGAAATGAAATCAAGACCTTTTCTGTATGTCACCCCACTCATTCAAACATTACTCATTCTTTAATAGTTATTTCATGAAGAATTCTAGGTGTTCTGTGATTATAGTTTTAAGTGAATATAGTAAATATGACACAAAATAAAATGTATATTTTAAAAAAAAGATACATATGGCTTTTAAAAATTAAAATTAGCCCTAGCTAGTTTGGCTCAGTGGATAGAGCATTGGCCTGTGGCCTGAAGGGTCCCGAGTTCAATTCCGGTCAAGGGTACATGCAAGGGTTGCAGGCTCATCCCCAGTTCAGGGTGTGCAGGAGGCAGCTGATCAATGATTCTCTCTCATCATTGATATTTCTCTCTCTCTCTCTCCATTCCTCTCTGAAATCAATAAAAAGATGTTTTTTAAAAAAGAATTAAAATTGTTTCCATTTTTATTGAAGTCAATAAAATAGCTTTGACAGGTGTGCTCAGTAGTTAGAGCATCAGCCCATGCAACAAAGGGTCACAGGTTCCATTCCCAATCAAGGGTATATACCTGGGTTGCAGGTTCCATCATAGGCCCAGTCAGGGCGTATGCAGGAGGCAACCAATAGATGTGTCTCTCTCATATTGATGTTTCTCTCTCTCTTCCCCTTCTTCCTACTCTCTGTAAAAATCAATGGAAAAATAATCTCAGGAGACTATGGACAACAACAAAAGTAATAATAGTGACTAAGTATGGAATGAAATTATAACTACTTGTATCATTTGGTATGTAAAGAGATCAGCATTGAGAAACCAGGGATTTTTATATTAGCAACTTCTGTCATGCTTCCAACTCTGTTACTTCATCTTTATGGTGGTTCATCACTTACACAGGAACTAAGAATTTTGACTAGAAATTCCTTCCAATACCGAATAATTCATTTGTATGGAAATAACAATAGAAAGGATACAGATACTATATTAAAAATGCACCTTTATTAAAAAATAGTTTTGCCTATATTATTTTATAAGCAAAAATCTCATTAAAGAGGTAAGAACACTCCTGACATGAGAACACCAGGGTCCTCTGACCCCTGCTTGCCACCTTAGGCATATCCAGTATGTTCTCTCACACACACACACACACACACACACACACACACACACACACACACACGACATCGTTGATGTGTCTTCTTTCTTTCTCTGGCATTGCCTTAAAAATATGTTTATTAATGAAGTCTTCTAAACATAAATGTATATGGAATAGAAAATGAGGACAACAGCTTTTACTGAAATAAAACTAAAACAAGATTTGCTTACAAGCATATTCATGATACATTTTAAGGTGGAAAGGTTTCTTGTTTTGTCCTTCTCAGATTACAGGAGCAGAAAGAAAAACACGAAGGAAGAGTAGTTATTAAACTGAGGTTAAAAGATAGCATTGATACTAAACACAGAATCCATCTCCTCACTTCCAGCATTTATACTTTACCCTTTTAGGCCACAATGTTTCAATGTTATATCCAAATTTAAAGAAAAAACTTAAATCTTTACTGTTCAATGGGGAGCATTTTTTCAGACTATCAGGTTCACCACAAATCCCATGAATGCTATTTTAATATTTGAACCATGCCCTTAGCCATCGCCGAGTTCATCCTTCACCAGGATCAACTCCATGAGAGCAAGAGGTCTATTGATTTTCATGTAATACAAGAAAATATTATATTTGCTTAATTGTTACACAGTGAGCACATCAGGCAAGAAATCATGGATCTATTTAATGCTGCAAGCAGCAGAGAATTATAGAGATCAATAGGGTAGTTTGTCAAAGATGTTCTCCAAGGAGACTTACCTATCACCGTATGGACAAGAAGTCACACTGCCTATAGCTATTGGAAAACAGGTAAGCAGAGTCAGCAGTACAAATTATCAGAAATCAAAGAGGCCAGTGTGAAAAGATGTGCAACTCTCCTGAAAAGCTGTATTTATAGTTTGGTAATTAAAAGCCATTTTATCAGCCTTGTATTGGGACCAAACCTTTTACAACAAGTATTGACAAGCCCAGCAGCAATGAATGAGCAGTATTTGACTTAAAACTTATGAGCTATAGTTATTTAATGTGGTCCATTACAGGGAAAATCAGTTCTAGCCTTCCATGCAAAATGCTAACAGTCAGTTTTATTATTAATGAAGCTTAATGCAACACTATCTCCTTTGTGTAAGCCATTCATTTAACTAGTGTCAAGTATATTCTTCTGGACCAACTATACTGGCATAAATACTTCTTTGATTAAAGTGTTACTTAGAATTGCTTTTAGACAAGTGAGCAGTACATATATTTGAAGAACACTGCGCTCTCTGTAGCTTACTTAAAGTGACTACCTTTAGCGAAGCCAGTTTGTGTTTCCTCATTATTCCGTGCTTTCACCGCCATCACTTCCACTCACTTCCACTACCGACTTGCCAGAAGCAAGCACCCAAATGTTGTTTAGATTGAACTTTATAAAATATTTTTGCACAAAATGTGTAAATGTTGTAGAGTATCAACAGCACATTAACATAAAATGATATATAATGTATGTTTGTAATTATGGGAGAGGTCATAAATCTTAAAATCCATTGGTTTAGAAATTAAATAGTACTACTTAGTTCTCCCTAAATTACTCCAAATTTCAGAAATTTACCATTCATCTGGGTATTCTGTAACTACCCCCAAGGATAAATTATTTAAATGACTTTGCTTTCAAAAATGCAATTAACTTAATAAAATTATAGTGCAAATCTGCCATCAGGTCTTTAAAATTTCAGCCCACTTCCCATCACCAATACGTCTATAGATAATGTACCATTTCAGCTAATTGCTTTTATAAACAGTTATCAAATTTATTTTTTTCTGGGTCTTTCTGGATCTTAATTGTTCTTACAGCTTTATCAGCATGCCATTTTAACTTTTAATAAGTTTTCATTTTATTCATCTTACTGCATTTACAATAACCAGTGTTACTATAGTTGGTATTGGATTCTTTAGGCAATCTATAATGATTAAAGCATAATATGCCAATTAGACTGGATGTCCTTCCGGACGACCTTCCAGAGGACTCTGGGGCTGCGGGGGAAGCCCCGTTCCCGGGTGCCAGAGGGAAGCCCGTGACGGCAGCTGGGGGAAGGAACGCCTACTCTTGCACGAAATTTCGTGCATCGGGGCCTCTAGTAAGAAAATAAACAAACAGCCGAAACCGGTTTGGCTCAGTGGTAGAGCGTCGGTCTGTGGACTGAAAGGTCCCAGATTCGATTCCGGTCAAGGGCATGTACCTTAGTTGCGGATACATCCCCAGTAGTGGGTGTGCAAGAGGCAGCTGATCGATGCTTCTCTCTCATCGATGTTTCTAACTCTCTATCCCTCTCTCTTCCTCTCTGTAAAAAATCAATAAAAAAAAAAAAATATATATATATATTTTAAAAGAAAATAAACAAACAAAACAAACAAAAGAAGCAAGACTCATAGATAGAGAGAACAGACTGACAGCTGTCTGCGGGGAGGAAGTTTGGGGGCTGGGTGAAAAAGGTGAAGGGATGAAGCAAAGAAAAAAAAACCTCAGAGAGGACAGTATGGTGATTACCGGGGCAAAGGGAGTTCGGAGGAGGTAGAAGAGGGTAAAGCAGGAATAAATGGAGATGGAAGGAGACTTGACTTGGAGTGGTGAACATACAATATAATATACACCTGAAACCTATATAATTTTATTAACCAGTGTCACTCCAATACATTCAATAAATTTTTTTAAAAAAAGTTTACCTCTGATCCAGGTAAATGGTATAAGGGCTTTAATAAATCTCCATTTAAAATCATGGCAGCTAAATGGTTTAGATTTCAGATTGCAAATAGAATTCTCATCAATTTTGGACTTATCAATAATATTATATTATCGCCACAATATATCCTACTTTTCCAATGTTATATAAAAGATTTTTCCCTTTCTTCTTCGTGTGGGTGTCTTTTTTTTCTCTTCCAAGGGAATTTGTTAATACCTAACTATATAGAATCTATATGTTATAATTATTTTTAACTGTAGTTTAATCTAGTTCTAGGGGGGAAAAATTGGTATAAGCATCGTGTGTTTCTAGTTCCCATGGGCTAACAGAGAGTATGTGATATATAACAATGTATGGAAAGTTTTGCCTCTGGAGGGCCATGATTCATTCATCTTAAAGCACCAGACACCACAGAAAGAACAAGGTGTTTGCAAAAGTTTTATTTTAAAGGATCAGAAATAAATATTGCACATACACACAAGAGATAATCCACTGATATTTATGTTCTCCAATGGACACTTTCAATACATGGCACCTTCATCTTCTTTATTTAGGAAATAAACTGTTATTGGTCCATAACTGGTATGCACAGTCTCTGTGACTCTAGCAAATAACCAGGAGCCAAGTCCATATAATAAAGTTGGAATACCTAGAAAACAAACGAATACATTATTTCCCAATGTCAAGTTATTAATCATACACCCATATATTTGTCATGACATAAGTAGCATGGCACTTGTTAGCAATGTCAAAAAATTATCAAGTTATAAAAATATGAGTAAGTATTGACTCTACCTAAGGGCTTCATCTGTTCGGGGAAACATAACAATTGTGTGAGCCTAGAAATTTTCAAACCTAAAGATACAGCTGGTATGAATTTTAGTTCAAAGCACTTTACAAGCACAAATTCATTACCTCCAAGTAATTATGAAGTAATTCTATATTCTTTTCACAAATAGGCAAACATAGAATATTCATTAATTTAATTGTAGATACTCCTGGATGAGCTTAAATCACTGGGTCAACTTTCTATACTTTATGTTAGACAGTAACACTGTTGGCTAAAGTAATTTTTTTTGTACAACTTAAAAAAAAATTGGGTCAAATAGCGGTCTTCAAAACTATGGCAAAACTTGACTCTAAGGAATATTTTAATATAATAACAGGCATGAGAAATAGTATTTTTATATTTAATTGAAAACAACTTTTTCCCCACTATTTAAAATAGACACATAAAGGTAGTAGACTCCAATGTGTTTCTTCCTTGGAATATTTCCATTTGCTGATATACTTGACATTAACTGCCATTTGTGATACATAAAACTAAACATATACTACACTGAGATTGGATATGTATATAAGACTATGTTGGACACACAAACTTTCACAATTCCTATCTTTTTTAAAGCATTTATTTAAAAGCAATGGCCATTAACATATTAAAAAGATATGCAGAAAACCACAGGCACATGAATCAAAAAATATTGTATGCTCCACACAGAATAAAGTATTAATTTTATTGTTGCTGCATAGGAATTGGACCAAAAATGACAATTTAAAGGGTTAGAGCTGCACATTTGGAAAATCACTTTCTTTCTCGTTAATAGAGATGCTCAGGACTAATATTGCTTATTTTTTTTTCCTTATTTTTCTGCAAGAGTGTATTTGCTGTGCTAGGCTCTTTTTGAGGGTATAAGTGCATTGAACTACTTTGTGCTTATTCCCTGAAGCTGCATTCCAGTCACTGTAATGCCAAAGATTAATCAGGAGAAGCATCACTAGCTGGCAATGAGAGGCAGCAAAAATGCCCAATCAAGCGGGCACCTCTCTGTTTTTAGGAATATACTGGGTCACAGCTTGTCACTCTCTATCAGAGGGTTCCCTGGAACTCCTATGAAATACTTTACAATATATTACCTTCTCTGCCTTGGTAATACACACAAAAATTCTCTAAAAGGAGTGTCACAAAATAGCCATAAAAACTAGCAACATGAAGCTATTTACAAATTATTTAACCAAAAAGGGGTGGGGGAGGCTAGTGGGACATAGGGTGGGGTAGTGGACAAGAGAAGGAAAAGAACAAGGGAGGTGGGGAAAAGCAAAGAGTAGAGAGAGCAGGTGAAATAAAATACAAATTTAAAACACGATATCACAATTCAAAATCTGAAAATCAATGGCGAGAGGAAGAAAAACAGGCTCTAGAGGCAATTATTAATTTTCTAAACATACTGAGAGTAAAATATATAACATATCCCTTTTAAACCAATTCTAAGGACATAAGGAATAGCTAGTGACAATGAATATTTTGTTTGTTTTACAGTATTTACCACAGTTTTCAGTTCAATATTGACACTTAAAAAAGCATACAAATAAATGGTTAATATTTCTTCAGCTGAAATGGAGGGCTGATCAAAGATTAGTAGTTTAATAATAACAATGCCTCTTATTAGGAAACAACTAAGAGCTACTAGCAGTAATGCTGTTTGGTCGGGGATGGAGTTGTGATAATAGGAATCAGAATTTCTCTATACTTTTTTCCTGCTGTCTATTTAATACAGTCAGGCTAATACACTATTTGGGAAGAGTTGCCACGTATGCTGTATAAGTTACACATCAAAAACATAATTTTCTTTATCTATAGCACATATGCTCTAAAGCCTGTAAGATTCCATGGACAAAAATTTTCCAGCCTGTTTGAAACATATCAAAACATTAACATGAACTGGAAAGTCAGTTCTTTGCATAATAATTCATTTTGAGTCAGCTGAACAGTCGGTAAACAAACCACTGTCAAATTAAGCACTTAAAAAAAATTAGAACTTCGTAGCAAGTCTCCGATTACCCATTCATTCCAATGGTAAGTTGCTTTTCTTAAATCTCAATCTACTTCCCAGCAGGATACTCAGACTGATAAACCATCAGTAAAATGTCAGCTTCCACTGAGGAAAAGGCAGAGGAGAAAGAGAACAAATGGGTAAGAGAGAAATCTCTATTACTTAAAAAATGGGAAAACGAATTACTCTGATCATTTCTAATCTGGAAGGGAAGAAGACAAATAAAATCCTGAGTATTTTTTATCAATCATTGATGTACTTAATGATCCAGAGTGGCAATTGTGGATCACAGAGTAGGAAAGAATCCTATTATCTAATTTACCTTCAGACAAAATTACAAAATAAATATTACCAAATTGGCAGATACACTACTCTTTACAAAGTCCAAAAAATACATTCCCTTTATTAGTACAATCCAATTGGTATTCAAGTATGCACGAGCAGAAAGTGTCCTTTCCGTTTAACTTAAAACTCTTATTCCCATCTGAGCAGGATTTTGTGGATTTCTAAAAAACCATTCAATCACTCTTCAACCTTCTCTTCCACAAAAAAAAAAAAAAAAAAAAAAAAAAAAAAAAAAAAAAAAAAACAAAAACGAAAACCGCACACAAAACTAAACTTTTCTTTCTTTCTTCAAAAGGTTTTACTTTTCCAAATGGGGATGTTCTAGGTATCCTACTTTTCTTTGAATTTCCTTCTACTTAAAAAACAAACAACGAAAACAAACAAACTAGAACCAACCCTAACCATTGAGATGTTTCTAAAGTGTTAGGTTTTAAGGCGTGAAAACTTTAAAAAAGAGCATTCAGCTCCTGTTACACTTTTCTCTAGTCATCATGCCAGATAATTATGAAACTATAATATCTAAGTCACCTATCCCTTTCAATTTCCTATCCACCTCAGAATCAGCGGGCCTGCTCTACAGTTCATCAGCCAAACAATAAGACATCTTTTAAAGGATTACACTTTGCTAAATAATCTGCTCCTTACTGGTCTGAACCCAGGATCATCCCAGGGGAGCAATGGCTCAAAAACCCCATGACTGACATTTGTGAGTTATTATATGCAAAAACATACACACCATATTTAAATTTAATGAGCGATCAGACTCCATAACACGAGTGCAGCTGCTGTAGCTTTCATTCTAGTTTAAAAAAAAAAACAAAAAAAACAACTGGTTGGGTAACATGGTTTAGCTCCCACGTCAAGCTTTTGAATTACTAAATTGTGGACTAATTTAGTACCAGCTATTAATAGGTTCGAAACATCTTGAGGCCTATTTTTTCACCGATCTATACAGGACACCTCACGCCAATGTGTATGCCTCTTCTGTCATTAACCAAAAGAAAACAACCATACAGCAAGAGCAAACACTCTCGGAATTAGAATATGCCCATGAAAACCTACAAAGATTCAAGGGGCAGCCTTTTACCTATCTTTTAGGTCTGGCTTCTGAGCCCACTAATGTGACTGGTGAAAACCTGTAGTGCTTTTAGCAGAAGAAACTTGCTTGGATTTCATAGGAACAAAACAAAGAAACTAAAATAAATAAATAAATAAGTAGTAGTTCGATTTTAGAGTATGAACGCACGCATCTATATGTCCGTGGGGACATAGCCTGCCTTGCAATAAGACAATTTTTTTTTAAACTTCAGAGCTCCTTTCCTCCCAGGGGCTCCCAGGGCGGTAGGAAGTGAGGATGGAATGAATGCCTCTTCCCCAGGGTGAGCCCCAGGCCTGTGGATATCGCCCACTTTGCAGGGGACCAGTCAGGAGCAACAGCTTAGCCCCCAGGAGCACTTGCTGGGGAGGGTGGGGGGTGGAAGTGGGGTGTGTAGGGTACAAAGCCAGAGCCCAGGCCTGGGCTGGAGCAGTGGGTGTGGAGGGACGCGGAGGCCGTGTCTGGGGAACCCAACAGCCAGGGGCGAGCGTGAGGAGCCCGTGCCCCCGGGACGGCCTGCCCGCGGCCGAACCGGGGAGGCTCCTCCCGGGCCAGCGCGGTCTGACCCCGGGCCGGGGACTCGTGCTTTGCCAACAGCGGGGCCCTCACCGGCGGGACGAGCTCCCCTCGCCCGGGCCACTCACCGAGGTTGACGACCTTGAGCGCCGTGAAGAAGCGGTCCTGCTGCGCCAGGTCCTGCCAGGGCGCCTTGGAGCAGTGGTACTTGATGAAGGGGAAGCAGCCGGTGCGCAGGACATGGTAGTTGGCGCCCGGCACCGGCCAGTTGAAGTGCGAGCGGCCGAACTGGTCGTTGCGGACGGCGCTGTAGCGCACGCAGAAGGAGGTCCAGGGCGGCAGGCGCCGCTGCAGCAGGTGCTGCGTCAGCACCTCCGAGGCGCGGGGCTTCGGGCGGGCGGCGGCGCCCGCGGCCCAGGGCCGGCTCAGCAGCAGCCGCAGCGCCGCCTCGTGCGCTCTCCGCAGGGCCTCCATGGCCGGCCGCGGCCCGCCCTGCACACGCCGCCGCGGGGGGCGCGCGCCGCCGGGGGCGGGGCGGCGGGAGCGCGCACGCGGGGCCCGGGGCGGGCGGCGAGGACGCCGGCGGGCGGCGCGCGAGTGTCCCGCGGCCGCTGCGGAGCGCGCGGAGGGGACGGGGTGGGCCCGGCGCTGGGCGCAGGGTAGGCGAGGGTCAGCGGCGTGAACAAGGAGGTGACATGGGCACTGTGACCTCATCGGTCGCTATTAACGCTGGCACAGGGGCGGGGAGGTCTCAGCAGTTGAGGTAGGAGGCTCCTTAGTGAGTGGCAGAACTCGCACCCATCGCCCAGGCCCAGCTTCGGGAGGATCTATCCCTAAGTTGGCGCTGCTGTCCAGGTAACCCTGGAGAAGGTGTCCTGGGGAAGTGGTGAAAGCCTGTGATTAAGCGTCAGCCTATGAACCAGGAGGTCAGGGTTCAAGTCCCGGCTGGGCATAAGCCACATTTGGGCTAGATCCCAGCCCCCACCTCCCCGCAACCCCCCGCAGGAAGCAGCCAATCCATAGTTCTTTCTCTTCATTGATGTCGCTCCTCTTTTTCTCCCTTTCTCTCTAAAATCAATAAAATATATATTTTTTTTAAAAGCAAAGCCCCTAGATTTGCATTGGCTGTAAAGTCAAGGAGAATTACTATGTATTACTATGTTTAGGTCTTTGTGGTCATGTTCACTGTTTAAGTCCCAGATATTTCAAAATAAAAAGTTTATGCCTACAAAACGTCCCAGGTGTCTCCGTGTGTGGCGCCCAGATTTGTACCACTGTTGACCTCTCCTAAGAGCCTGGTGAACGCCAGACCAGGAATGTTTTATTTAATAGACCTTTATAATCCTCACTGACCATTCATTATCAAGAGAGTGTGTTAGGAAAATCTTAACTTTTGCAGCATTGTGAGATAATGTATATTATCTCACAATATACATTATATATTTATATAATGTATATTGTGATATATAATATACATTATACATCACATATACCTGCCTTCTAAGGAAGCATTTTCTTAAACTCATCTTGTCTGTAGACACTGGATTTAAATAAGATGCTGTGGGTGGAAAGCATTGTGTATAAGTGCAATAATTATGTGTAAGCAGCATGTAATAATTACTATAGTTGTCGAAACTTAAGTAATGTAGGATAGTGTGACTAGTTCTTTACAGTCTCCAGTTTTTATTGATTTGTTCAACCAATAGTGATTGAGTCCTCACTACCGTGTGCCAAAACTGGAAGGGCCTTGTAGTCATGCAGATAATTTGAACTTGACTGTTTAGGATTCCCTTTTAGATAACAGTTTTAAAATTTTTTTGGTTGGAGGCATGATGTGGTTAGACTGGCACAAAAATGGCTGGAGGGAGGCTAAGACAGGTGTCAGGGAAGTTATTTTTTGTGGTTTTCAAATTAAATTTTAAAACAAAGCCTGTCACAGAACCTTATTATATAAAGTAGATGAAAACTTGTGTTTTATTATTGATACTAAGCATTTGAAAGTGCAAGATTTTGACATTAACTTTATAGGTAAATTAAAACACACACACACACACACACACACACACCAATAAGGTTGGTTTGTTTGTCTTGCGGGGTTTCTTTTAGTTTTGTTTTTAGCAAAAATGGAATTAATTGTAAGGAAATTGGGTAGCTGAAATAATAAATACAAAGTCTTCAGACCATGCTCAGAAAATGTATTTATTGGCCCCACTGCCACTGGACCTTTGACCCTGCTGTTCTGTGCTCAAAACCTTTTTTTTTTTTTTTTTTTTTTTCTTTTTTTTTTAAGTTGGAGGTTGTGGACAATTGCTGTTATAGCTGCCTAGGGACAGTTTATTTCTTATGCCTCTGTTTTGGTTGTATACTATTAAGAAAATCCTGATCCAGAGGAGAAGATACAAATATGAGTGGTTTTTAAATGATTCACCTTGAAATCTTGGGCAGGGGCTTCAATTACAAAGATGGCAGATGGAGAGGAATTCTGGGTCTACACTGAAATGACTTAAACTCAAATTCTTGTGTGGGCAGCTTTGCAATATGTTAAATTTTGGCAATACAAAAACCTATTCTAAAAAGTGAAACGAATCAAATATTTGTGGAGCCTCTGAAGTTTGTCTCAGAAACCCTAGGTTCTGTGGCATCTACTGTGAAAACCACTGATAAGGAGAAGCAGAGACAGATATGTTTCACTGCATGTTCTCATGAAGGCTTAGGAAAAGAGCTAGGGAACTGAAAGGTTTCTGTTGTAAGATGCTCTCTTGGAAAAACCTCATCAATCATGGTGAATTCCTTAGTTCAAGACTCTTTGACTATCTCTCTTTTCTAAGATAGGAAATTCCTCCAAGCAGAGCTGATAGCTGGGAGACCAAAGTCAAGAGTGTTTGAATAAAATATTGCCTTTAACCTGATGATTCTGAGCTGGAGAACATGACTTCTAGATATTTCTTTTGACTTTCATAATTAAGAAAACATACTTTCTCAAAAAACTCACACCTCGGATTAGATGCTTGATTTTTTTTTTTCAGTTCCAATTCTTGATGGCCATAAACAAAGGGGCTTAGAAGTTGTATTAAAAAGCCTAAGTAAATGCTTAAAAAACATTGTGGCCAACAATTAAAAAATAAATATGTGAATACTTAGTTTTCTACAGAGCGAGGAAAAATGGCATATCCCTTAGAAAGCACCTTAAAAATATGAAGAGTATCTCTGTGCACAGCACTTAGCATGTACATGGCTATATCATGCTGCTCCATGAAAGGATTTAGTCTTTTTGTATTTGTTTTAAAGACACCTAAGACATTATGGATGTTCAGAACATACTAAAAGTTAGTTTTACAAAATTGATAACATAGAATATATTAAAATTAAGACTTTTTGTTCACTAAGAGGCACTATGATATTTAGAGAGTGAAAAGGTAATCCACAGAGTAGGAGAAGTATTTGCAATATATAGATCTGACAAAGCATTTGGAATCTAGAGCAAATCATTGAAAAAGACAATCCAATAAAAAGGACAAAATATTTGGACTCTTCACAAAAGAGAACATCTGAAATCATCAATAAAGGTGAAAATGACTTTTAATAATCATCCAAGAAATGGAAATTACAACCACAATGCAATACCATTACACACTCACCAGAGTGGCTGAAATAGAAAAGATAGACAGTACTAAGTGGGGTGAAGAAATGCAGCTATTATACACTTTGGAAAAATTGAGGGGAGTATATATTACAGCTGAACATATAGGTATACCTTATTTTTTGCTTTTGCTTTATTACACTTTACAGATGTTGCATTTTTACAAATAGAAGGCAACACCATCCATCAGCTAAAGGATTACCGAACTTGCAATGTCTCGGGTATGCCTGTGTGCATTCCTTATGACCCAGCACACCATTTCTTGGTAAATATTTGTATCAGTGTGCTCAGGCTGCCATCACAAAATACCACAGACTGGGTGGCTAAACAACAGAAATTTATTGCTCACTGTTCTGGAAACTGGAAAATTTAAGATCAAAACGCCAGCCAATTGGGTACTTGGCGAGCGTTCTCTTTTTGGCTCGCAGCTCCATCTTACTGTATCCTCCCATGACACAGAGAGCTAGTTCTGGTGTCTGTCTCTATCTCTTCTGTTAAGGGCGCCGGCCCTTATGACTTCATTTAACCTTTAAGACTACCTCATGGACCCTATCTCCAAATACAATCAAATTAGGTATTAAGGTTTCAACATATGAATTTAGAAGGGACATAAATATTCAGTCATAACAGTAACGAATAGAAATTGTGTGTGTATGTTCTCTAAAAGACATATTGGAATATTCATAGCAACACCAGCTGCTTCCTGCAAACCCCCTACCGGGGATGTGCCCGCAACCAAGGTATATGCCCTTGACAGGAATCGAATCCGGGACCTTTCATTCCGCAGACCAACGCTCTACCACTGAGCCAAATCGGTTTTGGCTATTCTCTTTCTTGATATGGATTCTAGGTAAATGGGTATATTCAGTTAGTGGATTCTTTTAAAAAAAATATATAATATACTGATTTCAGAGAGGGAGAGAGAGAAACATCAATGATGAGAGAGAATCACTGATGGGCTGCCTCCTGCACACCCCCTACTGGGGACCGAGCCCACAACTTGGGCATGGGCCCTTGATCAGAACCCTTCAGTCTACAAGCTGACACTCTATCCACGGAGCCAAACCAACTAGGGCAGTTAGTGGATTCTTTGAACACATAAGTGCACTTTTCTGTATGTATATTATACTTCAATAAAATGTTTGAAAAAAAGACCTGGGGCAGTGACAGGGGTGGGCTAGAAGGGGTCCAAGGGGGAGAAAAGGGGACATAAGTAATACTTTCAACAATAAAGATTTTTTTAAATTAAAAACAACAACAATGATTTCTACTGGTAGCTATATATATTAACACATCTTATTTGTGTTTATGAATAAGTATGTACAGCACGCATGTCAAACTTGCAGCCCTTGGGCCTGTGTTAGTCTTTGTATTTGATATGCTTGATGTAGAGAGAATGTATACAGTGGACATGACCCAAACATGACCTTGTACATATATAGAATATTTATTATCATGTTGTTTTTACAATCTTACTGAGATCCTGATTTATTCACATTTTTCTAATAATGTGATTTAAAAGGAAGTAGGGTAGATTTTAATTCACTGCTATTCCCAGCGGGAGAATTATGGGCAAGAACTGGGTGAATATGTCAACATGTTAGTAAAAGAGAAAAGACTTATGGGGAAAAAGGATAGAAATGTTTACACTTAGAATTTCCAGTTTGAGGCTTAAGGACTTTTGGGTGAAGGAAAGAAGGACCATGGAGATGATTCACATTCCAGCATGCTTTGAAACTTAAAAACGGATCTGCCAAAAGAGCCACCCAAATCTGCTTAATGGCTCAGTGCCTTCTAAACTGAGCTCAGCACCAGAGGAGCTGGTGGTGAGTTA